GACTCTGGACTGAACCGGATTATATATTTGCAGCGACTGCTTAATCCTTTATATAAGACATAATTAGGCGTGATTAAACACCCTTGGCATAGTGTGGCTACGCCACTAATTAGTATAGTATTAATTTAGGATCGCTATAAAAATTCATCAGCTTTATATTATGAATATTCTTCTAGAAATGGTGGATCTAAGCCAATGAATCTAATATAATGTTGTCTGCCAGAATATGACTCTAACCAGGCCAACAATGGTGAATGTAGTGTTGAACCAACGAGTTCAATTGAACCCATAATTTTTGAAGCGAAGTAAAAAAAATTATATGTAAAAATTCATTTAAATTGTAAGAATAGTAGATATGAACCCATAAGTCATAATTTTAAAAATATAATGGGTTTAATGCTAATTAAAATTTTGAAAATTGAATCATAGAATTTAAATTTTGGATCCGACTCGACTCTGCTGAGGCCAAGAACAAGAAAAACGTGGGTTCAAATTCTAAACCAAGCAACAATAGACAACCATATGACTAGCTAGCAGTAGTTATAAGAAATTGCAGTGTTATAGAATCGTTCTTGATTATGACTCTTCCGCTTTCAGGGGCGGCTTGCTAAGCTATGTTAGAGTGAGTGAATACACTTCTCTCTGAATTAAAATCATGTTAAATACTAATTTTATGTAAAGAAAGAACCACTAGTTTATTAGTCTCAATTATTACCTGAATATACCCTTTTGATTTTTCATTTCTTTTTTATTGAAAAATTAATTCGAGAGGTGTTAAACTTTTTATCACCTGATATCGAGCTATTTTTCGGCAGGATCTCCCTTAAGTATCGTCACTACAATATTTATCACTTAACCACGATCACATTATGTGCATTCTCACTTTAATTTTGTAATTACTAATTAAAGTTAAATTATTTAGCTTAATGTAAATACTAAATATTAACCCGGTTTATATCTATGACTAGCTAGCAGTAGTTGAAAGAAATTAAATTACACAAATGCAGAATCGTCATTCAGCAAAATTCATGTACATATGACTATAATAATTCTGCTTTGGTCATATATGATATGCTGCAGTGTTATTGACTTAGTCGTTGCAATCAATTCGTCGTCTACCTATCCCCACCATTTATTGTATTATGATGATAATGAGAGGTTAATCAAATATACATTTTGTTGATAAATATTTTATTTTATTTTTTAAAAGAGAGACTAATACTTATTAATTGTGCATTAATATAAGTTTTAGTCCACGTAATTATAGTAAAAAGATAAAAGGTAGACAGGAAAAACAAAAATTCAATTGAACTGATGAGTAAGTCCAAAATTAAAATGAAGCGAGGAAGAAACAATGGTGAGATTTTAATGAGTGCAAAAATTTTGAGGAGATGAGGTTCTCTCTCTCAAATGTTATTGGAGATTGCTTCTACATTATTTTTTCTTTCTTGCTTTTTTTTTATTTGCAGAATGATGGTAAACTATTTTGAACTTAAACTTAAATAAAGTGATGTTCAATAATGAAGAGGAGCAGCATCCTGATATTGACTATCAGCAGGTATTGAAAATTTTAAAATTTGCAATTCTATATATACTATTCATTTTTACTACTCTCTTTGTGATACAGTTACAATTTATAGTCAAACAAGTTTTTCTTTAACATAACTTCATTATATGCCTTCTGAATTGTTAATTATTATGACTTATAGTAATATTTTTTGTAATTTTTAAATATGTAAATTTTGTTTCAAAAAACTTGGAGATTCTATGCCTGAAATTAGATAGTTTAATGAATCGTTTGACATGAAGTGGGATAGAGGGAGTAGGAGAGAATAAAGTTATATCCACCCTTTACTAATGCTTAATTTTAGGGCTCGATTCGTACGAGGGATAAGGGATTAAGAAATTTCGTGATTAAATTTGAAATGAGTTTATCTCATGTTTGGTTATGATAAAATTGTGATATAATTAATTCCGGGATTGTAATATTTTTTTTTATTTCCACGAATGGATAAGATAACTAATTCTGAATAATTAATCATAAGATGTTCCAGAGGAGTCAAAGTTGGAAATTTGAAAAGAGAAGTAATCAAGTGGGATCAGTTAGACTGACAAATTAGACTTTAATTATACAAATGCTAAGTGTAGAATTTAATGAGAGAAAGACTTTATATATACCAGTTTTAACAGAACTTATTAATATGGTATCCATCAATAATCCTTCTTCCTTCCTAAGTCCTAACTAAAAATGGAGATTCAGTTTTCTAACTTAGTTGCATTCTTGCTCTTTCTCTCCAGCATCTTTCTTCTATTCAAAAAATGGAAAACCAGAAAACTAAATTTGCCTCCTGGTCCATGGAAATTACCTTTTATTGGAAGTTTACACCATTTGGCTGTGGCAGGTCCACTTCCTCACCATGGCCTAAAAAATTTAGCCAAACGCTATGGTCCTCTTATGCATTTACAACTTGGACAAATTCCTACACTCATCATATCATCGCCTCAAATGGCAAAAGAAGTACTAAAAACTCACGACCTCGCTTTTGCCACTAGACCAAAGCTTGTCGTGGCCGACATCATTCACTACGACAGCACGGACATAGCATTTTCTCCGTACGGTGAATACTGGAGACAAATTCGTAAAATTTGCATATTGGAACTCTTGAGTGCCAAGATGGTCAAATTTTTTAGCTCGATTCGCCAAGATGAGCTCTCGAAGATGCTCTCATCTATACGAACGACACCCAATCTTACAGTCAATCTTACTGACAAAATTTTTTGGTTTACGAGTTCGGTAACTTGTAGATCAGCTTTAGGGAAGATATGTGGTGACCAAGACAAATTGATCATTTTTATGAGGGAAATAATATCATTGGCAGGTGGATTTAGTATTGCTGATTTTTTCCCTACATGGAAAATGATTCATGATATTGATGGTTCGAAATCTAAACTGGTGAAAGCACATCGTAAGATTGATGAAATTTTGGGAAATGTTGTTGATGAGCACAAAAAGAACAGAGCAGATGGCAAGAAGGGTAATGGTGAATTTGGTGGTGAAGATTTGATTGATGTATTGTTAAGAGTTAGAGAAAGTGGAGAAGTTCAAATTCCTATCACAAATGACAATATCAAATCAATATTAATCGTAAGTTCTCTATATCTATTTAGTTCCTTGCTTTATTTTCTGGCCAGGATTTGAAGTTTATGAGTTCTGAACTTGACATCAAACTCATAGTTCGTCTTAGTTGTTGGGTACTTGGGTTCACAATTAAGTATTTATACTTTTTTAATGGATTTTCTAATATAAATACAAGGTCTAAATAAAAGATATTGGATTCATTTGAACCCGTACCTAATACTCTAGCTCCGCCCCTACATACAAGAAAGCGTAATGATCTTACTACATATTCTTGCACCACATTTACTAGATTTTCTTATGCATAATTACATAAAGGGACAAATATAAACTCCCAGATTTCTGCTACAAGCTTTAGAAAAACTAAAAGAGCTAATTCCCTTTTCAAGACTAGCTTAATAATTGTTGCCCAACTCAATATATATGCTAAAAAATCATGTTGATTGTGAGTTTTTGAGTTTGTGTTGTTCATTGAATTTTACGTATATAACTTAAATTCTTACTTATTTTATTCTAATTTCTTCATCATATAGGACATGTTCTCTGCGGGATCTGAAACATCATCGACGACTATAATTTGGGCATTAGCTGAAATGATGAAGAAACCAAGTGTTTTAGCAAAGGCACAAGCTGAAGTAAGGCAAGCTTTGAAGGAGAAAAAAGGTTTTCAACAGATTGATCTTGATGAGCTAAAATATCTCAAGTTAGTAATCAAAGAAACCTTAAGAATGCACCCTCCAATTCCTCTATTAGTTCCTAGAGAATGTATGGAGGATACAAAGATTGATGGTTACAATATACCTTTCAAAACAAGAGTCATAGTTAATGCATGGGCAATCGGACGAGATCCAGAAAGTTGGGATGACCCCGAAAGCTTTATGCCAGAGAGATTTGAGAATAGTTCTATTGACTTTCTTGGAAATCATCATCAGTTTATACCATTTGGTGCAGGAAGAAGGATTTGTCCGGGAATGCTATTTGGTTTAGCTAATGTTGGACAACCTTTAGCTCAGTTACTTTATCACTTCGATTGGAAACTCCCTAATGGACAAAGTCATGAGAATTTCGACATGACTGAGTCACCTGGAATTTCTGCTACAAGAAAGGATGATCTTGTTTTGATTGCCACTCCTTATGATTCTTATTAAGCAGTAGCAGAAATAAAAAGCCGGGGCAAACAGAAAAAAGTATTGCTGCTTCTAGGTATTTTCTATTGGATAAATTTCAAAATTCATCCACAATATTTAGTGTTTGCTAGAGTTGGTCAGTTTTCCAGTCTATATCATCTATATGTACTCAATAATTGTATGGGGTATTATATATATTACAAATAAATAAAGGTTTTCCTTTTTACATTTGTATTTAAATGTTTGCATATCAAAAACTTCTTGAAGGAGAGCTTTGGCGTAACTGGTAAATGTGCTGTCATGTGACCAGGAGGTCAGCCATGAAAACAGCCTCTTGCAGAAATGCAGGATAAGGCTGCGTACAATAGACCTTTGTGGTCCGACCTTTCCCCGCACCCCGCGCATAACGGGAGCTTAGTGCACCAGACTGCCCATAATAGAAACTTCTGATTAGATTTCACTTTATTCTCTTTATGATGTAAAAGGACAAGATTCTCTCACCATATGGGAAAAAGAAAAGTTTTTCAAGTATCAATGTCCAAATCACATCAGCAGAGGGCAATGAAAGAGTATTAACACAGAAAATTGCAGCCTTCAGATATCCAACCACCAATGTCTACTCCAGTTCCAAAAGTCAAGGGAAGGAAACATAACTAACTGTCATTACTGAAATTTAAAAAATCAGAGCTAAGAGCATCAATTTCTTGCAACTGATGCTACTGGCAAAAAAACAAAGATAAAAATAAGAACTTTTTACCACTATCACCAAAATTAAGCACGATATGACTTTCCTACAGAGATTTATAGTATCATCAGCCTAATGATTGGTGTGGTGCATGTGATTCAGAGAATGAACACTATGATAACTCAATTTACAGGTAATTAATTGTCTACAACGACCAAACTTGAAAAGGCACATACTTGCCACTAAATAAACAGGTTTCCTTCGAAAATTGTGGTTAAGTGAAGAAAGAGAACTAAAGAAACCTTACAAGCAAGTATGAAGAAACTATATAACATTGTCATAATTTACGGAGCAACTACAGGTCCCTTCTGCACATTGGGCACGAGCCATGTTTCAACAGCCATGTATCTATACACGGTAAGTGAAACATGTGATGACATTGTGGCAAACATCTCACAGTTTCCCCTAGTTGAAAATCCTGTATGCAATGAAATAGAAAAAAGAAAAAAAAGGTTTCAGGATCGACAAGTAATTCAATATCAGGAGGAATAGCAAACAAAAGGTGTAAACATAATTCACCTGAAGGCAGACTGAACAAGAGACTCTGTCTCCACAATCATCCAAGTTGCTACCATTTGTAATTACAATCTTGGGGATCTTTTCAACAGAATCTCCATGCAAACCTTTAGCCCCTCCCGTATCAAAAATGTTAGGGGCCTCGTCATATGCAGTTTCAACAGCTCCCATCTGATCAACAAGAAAGTGTCAGTCAATGTGAAGGAAATTAAGTTGCTGGAAAAATTTCACAATGGCTAACAGTCATGCAGCATATACCTGACTCTGGACTGCACTTAGCATAGCTGGACCTATCCGTTCACGAACCAATCGACCACTTAACAAGCTCGTGAGTACATCAATCTGCTCAAATTAAAAATACCATCCGTCAAGGATATATCTATATATCCTAAGAACCACGCAAAAGATCTTGAGTCTCTGTCTCTCTCTCCCTCTCCCTCTCCCTCTCCCT